GTGTCCACGGTAACACAGACTGTCTACAAATGGAGAAAGTTTAGCACTGTTGCTACTCTCCCTAGGCCTGGTTGTCCTGTAAAAGTGACTGCAAGAGCACAGCGCAGAATGCTGCATGAGGTAAAGAAGAATCCCAGAGTGTCAGCTAAAGACCTACAGAAATCTCTGGCACATGCTAACATTTTTGTTGACACATCTACAATAAGGAAAACATTAAACAAGAATGGAGTACATGGGAGGACACCACGGAGGAAGCCATTGCTGTCTAAAAAGAATATTGCAGCACGTTTGAAGTTTGCAAAAGAGCACCTGGATGTTCCACAGTACTACTGGCAGAATATACTGTGGACAGATGAAACCAAGATTGAGTTGTTTGGGAAGAACACACAACACTATGTGTGGAGAAAAAAAGGCCCAGCACACCAACATCAAAACCTCATCCCCACTGTGAAACATGGCGGAGGGAGCATCATGGTTTGGGGCTGCTTTGCTGCCTCAGGGCCTGGATGGATTGTTGTCATTGATGGGAAAATGAATTTCAGAGTATATCAAGACATTTTGCAGGAAAACGTACGACCATCTGTCCGCCAACTGAAGCTCCGCAGAGGTTGGGTGATGCAACAGGACAATGACCCAAAGCATACAAGTAATTCAACAAAACAATGTCTGCAACAGCACAGAATACGTCTTCTGGAGTGGCCCAGTCAGAGTCCTGACCTCAACCCGATTGAAATGCTGTGGCATGACCTTAAGAGAGCGATTCACACCAGACATCCCAAGAATATTGCTACACTGAAACAGTTTTGTGAAGAGGAGTGGTGCAAAATTACTCCAGATCATTGTGCAGGTCTGATCTGCAACTACAGGAAACGTTTGGTTGAGGTTATTGCTGCCAAAGGAGGGTCAACCAGTTATTAAGTCCAAAGATTCACATACTTTTTCCTCCCTGCACTGTGAATGTTTACATGTTCTGTGCAATTAAACCATGGCAACATCTAATGTTTGTGTAGTATTATGTTCAGCAGACTGTGTTCTTCTAGTGTTCTGACTTAGATGACGTTCAGAGCACATTTTATGCCCAATTCATGCAAAACTCCACGTAATCCCAAGGGGTTCACATACTTTTTCTTGCAACTGTATATATATATATATATAGACACAGGGGCGGACTGACAACTCATGGAGCCCCTGGGCAATAGCTGATCATGGGGCTCCTGTGTCCTTGCCCAAACTCAAAAAAGCCTATGAAAAAGGTACCAGGGGCATCTCATGGGGCCCCCTACTGGCCCGAGGGGGCAGTGCCCGACTTTCCAAATGGTCAGTCCGCCCCTGTATATATATATATATACTGCATGTTGAATTGTGTTTTTATTACAAAATATATGAAAAATATTTTTAAAAATGCATTTCAAATATACTGTATGTCTTTAAAAATAGAAACCTACATTTTTGGATTGCATTTACCAATATATGTAAAAATGACACTTGTTTATATGTTAAAAAAAGAATATATTTAAAAAATATATTTTGAAATATACTGAATACGGCCAAAATTGTAGCATTTCAAATATATGGCAATATATTCGGGAAGAATATTTTACAAATATATATTTCAAATATAGTTTTCTTCCATATAGGCCTGAACAGAATGTTTCTTTTAAATCAAAATTTAGTGTCACTTTAAGCAGCACAGTGGCTAAATGGTTAGCACTTCCGCCTGGCAGTACTCGGGTCGTTGGTTCGAATCCCAACCCTGGCCCCACCTGCTTGGAGTTTGCATGTTCTCCCTGTGACTGCATGGGTTTCCTCCAGGTACTCCGGTTTCCTCCCACACTCCAAAGACATGCTGGTAGGTTAATTGGCTCCTGTCTAAATTGGCCCTAATATGTGTATGTATGAATGTGAGTTAGGGACCTTAGATTGTATGCTCCTTGAGGGTTAGGGACTGATGTGAATATACAACATATGTATGTAAAGTGCTTCTGCCAGGGGGTGACCCCCCTTGTACCCCCCCCCCCCCCCCCCCCCCCCCCAATTCCTCCCTTTTCCCTAAGTGTAAATTGATGGCACTATATAAGTACCTGAAATAAGAAAACAGCAGCAATGGTGAGGCTGATGCCCCCGGGTTAATCTTTCAAATGAAAGAAGAAAACTGAATGGTTTGCCGCTTAGCCAACATGAGTTTTTTTCTTCTTTTTTTTTTGTAACTCATTTTCAATGTGTTGTGGAATGTAGACAAAAACAAAGGAGGGGGCTTACCTGTATCTGCTTTACTGTGTGCAATGTCCCGTAAATTTATTCAAGTACTGTATTCATGATTATGCTGGTGGAAAAGGGGAGAAGGGTACAGCCAGTGACAGCTACTACCAGCTTATCCCAGATGAGAAGAGATTATAATGATCAGACAAGGTTTTCAAAGCTACCTGATTGTTGAAGTGTATGTCAGGGCAAAAAAAAACAAAACATATTCAGTATTTCCCTGAATTCCTTTTGTGCTGACAACATGACGACTTTGCTGTACCGAAATCCTAACCAGTGTTGTCAGGACTACAGAGCTCCTTTTCCTTCTCTACCTGAGTAGATCAATTTCCTTCCCAGTAAAACAATTTAGCTCCCAAAAGCCTGCCCACAAAATGGGGTTGGTTTACTAAAGGAAAATAGGATGTTCAATTTGCAAGGGGATTTCTTCTTAGCTTAGTGAATGGTGGGAAAACTCTGTTGATTTCTACCATACAATCATATGCAAGCATATATATAGATACTTATAATATATATATATATATATATATATATATATATATATATATGTATGTGTATATGTATATAAATATATATTATATTTGCAATTGATTGATTCTTTTGCAAAGTGAATCAAGGATTTTTCACCACCATCACAATGCTAAGGGAACATTATTTTACAATGTGAAAATTAACTTGCAATGTTAAAGCCGATTTACCTTTAGCAAATCAAACCCATTGAGGTTGATTTACTAAAACTGGAGAGTGCAAGATCTGGTGCAGCGCTGCCTAGAAGCCAAGTATCTACCAGGTTTTTTTTTTTAATGCTTACTTGAACAACTTGAAGTTAGAAGTTGATAGGCTACCATGCACAGCTGCACCACATTTTGTACGCTCCATTTTTAGTAAATCAACCCCATTGTGACTAGGAAAAAGGCTCTTAGGAGATGTAGTTCTGGGGGTATGCATAATGCTAGCTAACCATAAATGGATCAACATGAGGCCCATTCAGTAGGGACCAGCTACATTTTTGTTACATTTATGGGCAAGTTGGTTGTACACAAGTCAATCTATCGATCAACTTGTTGACAATTAGCCTGTTGGGTTTTCCCCAATGATCAGTGCCGCCGGCTATAAAGCTGGCAACACTGATCATTGTGTTGTGATGGAAGGTAAGGCTCCCCGCTGTCAGAATACAATACCACAGCGGAAGGATTCCCCTGGCAGCATTGAATGTGTAGATGGGGAATCAAGGCATTTTCTTTCATTCAAACCCACTGGTTGAACCAAAAAAATGCATAATTCATGTCACTAGGAATTCCAAGCTGCTGTCCCTGTGAGGCTTCTTCAAACTTGGTGATAATGAATGAAAAAGCTGTCACTCACTACAGGAACAAGGTAAAAACAAACAAAAAGAATGCTGGGACATGCTGTAGAAGAGAAGAGGGAGTTTTGGGGGTAAATCTTGGAAATACCTGGATATAAACTTTCTTTGCCCTGAAAAGTGATGGCCGAATGCAGCCCTGAGCTCTTTTGGACATGAGATCATCACACAAATGAATCTGAAAAACAGACTGGTGACTCCAATGTCTAGGGCTACTTTAGTTTAATGGCATGAAAATGCAAAAAAAAATGTTTGTAAAATCTGCTGCTTTGTTAGAGCACTTTTTTTTAAATAAACCTGAATGTTACTTAGAATTCAAAATCTGTGTAAAACCTTTTACACTTCCCAGAGAAGAAAGAGCCTTTAGCTTGCTTAATGTAGAACCAGAAAGGATTCTTTCAAAACTGTCAAAAGGTCTGACATACAACATTCTCATATTTGAAATGCAGTTTTTCATCAACACCCCATACATACGTATAAATAGGTGCGTGTATACATAAAGAATGACAGATGTTTTATAGAACTGTATGTATGTTATGTTTTATGATACGGTATAATAATTCATGGTCACTGTGAATATATCAAAATGTCCTCCCAATTCATGGATCTGTTAAACCTAGTCAGGTTCTGATTCACTGTGATCAGATCTGTGATCTCTTCCCATTATAAAATGTAATTGGAGGTGAGCCAAACCTTTGATTCTCAGGCATACAAATTGTGGGGAACAGAGTCAACGTCCAAGGCTTTTGATGTGCCTCACGTATTCTGTTGTTGAGTAGGCTTTTTGTTTATCTGAGCAGCAGTGGTCATACTAAAGGAGTTATTTTTACTTTTGCCAACTTTAGTTCAAATATCAAACAGATGTAGGTGAAATTACAAACTTTTCCTAAAACTGACTACATATTTGATATGCACACTGGCTACAGAAAAAAATATGACTTCAGTAAATCAGCCCACATATACAGTAACTGAATGACAGAGAGATTAATAGTGTTTGATAGCTTCAGTAGTGTGTTCTATGCAGGGCGGACTGACAACTAAATGGGGCCCCCCCAGTGCCCAAGTTTTCCAAATGGTCAGTCCGCTCCTGGTTAGGCATCAGTTGATTGTCAGAGTCAGGAGTCAGTATCAGTAGTCAGACTCAGTTGTCAGAGTTAGATATTACAGTCCAGGGGCGGACTGACAACTCATGGGGCCCCCGGGCAATAGGGGATCATGGGGCCCCTGTGTCCTTGCCCAGACTCAAAAAAACCTATGAAAAAGGTACCAGAGGCATCTCATGGGGCCCCTACTGACCCCGGGCCCTGGTCAGGATATTGGAGAAAATTATTCAGTATGACTAAAGTTTGGGTCTTTTTTTCTCAGAGAATAGGTGCAGGCAGGGGTGGACTGATAACTCATGGGGCCCCCGGGCAATAGAGGATCATGGGCCCCTGTGTCCTTGCCCACACTCAAAGCACACCCAAAAAAGCCTATAAAAAAGGTACCAGGGGCATTTCATGGGGCCCCCTACTGACCCCAGGCCCTCGGGCAGTGCCCGAGTGCTCGAATGATCAGTCCGCACCTGCATACTGCCATGATCTATTTTCAAGATCATCTAACTTTACAATATGGTTACAATATGAGCAATTTTCTCCCTACAAAACCACATTCACAGTTATGAATTCATTTGGTCAAGAAAAATTTTCCACCGTGCTCCATTCAACTTTCATCACTATGGTCAAAAAGGAATGTCAATTTATTTTACCCCACTAACAATTTTGAAACCGGTCAAAAGTTTTGCAAACAAAACAATTTCAAACAAAATTCTACTAGTCTATGGTCAGTTTCACTCTACTGTCTCAGCATGCTCACTGCTCATCAGGGGCAGACTGACAACTCATGGGGCCCCCGGGCAATAGGGGATCATGGGGCCCCTTTGTCCTTGCACAAACTCAAAAAAGCCTATGAAAAAAGGTACCAGGGGCATCTCATGGGGCCCCCTACTGACCCCGGGCCCTCGGGCAGTGCCCAAGTTTCCAAATGGTCAGTCCGCCCCTGGTTCTGTGTTGACATTCATAATTTTGTAAGTGGGGTAAATTACATCTAGAAGAAACCATTTTAGTATTTTAAAGTGGTCGTAAACCACACCAAAAAAAAAATCCCCTGCAAGGTAATGTCATAATGTGCTAGTGTGCATCGCGTACTATCCCATTATGGAAGACTTACCTTAAAACGAAGCCCTCCAGCAGCGCGCTGTCACCGCTACAGAGGCTTCCATCTTCACCAGGTCTTCCTTCTGGGTTCGCGAGCTCCGGCCCTCTGACTGGCTGAGCCGCAATGATGTCACTCTCGCGTATGCGCGTGGGACTCCCTGGCCACGGCACAGTGTTCTGAAGGAACAGTAGGGTATGCCGATCCTTCAGAACACATGCGTCAGCTGTCAAAAGCAGCTAATATCTCCTAAAAGGGTGCAAGTTTTAGAGATATTCATTTTACCTGCAGGTAGGCTTTATTATGAGCTTACAGATAGGAAAAAATACACAAAAGGGATTTACTATCACTATAACCTCCCTGGCGGTATTCCTGAGTGTAGCGCGGGGTAAAATTTGAGTACCAAGAGCGGTAACCCCCCCCCCCCCCCCCCGAGCTACACTCGGGCTTACCATGCGGCGTTGCTCTGGGGGTCCCTGCAGCGCTTACCTTGTCCTTCGCTCCCGCGATGTGTCCCCTGCAGCGTCCCCGTCCATCTCCTCCGGCCGATGCCGGCATCCGGCTTCTGTGTTCCGGTCCCTGTGACGGCGGGACGGGCGGGAAATTTGAAATTTTTAAAAAATGTCATTTTTGCTGTCATTGCTGTTTCAATGCATTTCACATACATTTTGTCCCTACTGCTTTGTCCGGCGCCCTGTCTGCATTTTGTCTGTTCTTTCTGCCTGGAAACTTAGAAAAGTCCATGGCGTCCAAAAAGCGTCCCTTTACGTCAAAAGCGGTTTTAGAACAGCGATAGTAAATCAGAACCACTTGCAGAATTGAGTGATAATGATTCGTGGGGGAAATTCGTCATCAGACACTGAAAACGATTTTGCGACTTTGCTCAGCGATGTGCGAATTTGCCTCTGTATTTCACATTTCAGTGTTTTTGGTTTGATTATATTATTGAATTAAATGTATTATTATTTATATTATTTTTTATGATTATTTATTAAATTATAATTTATGATTTCGTGTTTCAAGTTTTATCATATCCGGGATGTTTAATAGACTCTTGTTCAGACAGATTTCAGTGAGTTATTCCTAAAAATTACAGCCTACAATAAAAAAAATACATATTTCCATGCAAAAAATGTACCGCTTTCAGCACAAAAAATCGGAAAGAATCATCCCGCCAGGGAGGTTAAGAAGTAATGTATTTCTTCTATTCCAAAACTAAAATGATAGCACGAAGCACTTCACAAGTCTTTGGTATGGACAAAGGTCTCCTGTGTTAACTTTAGTACCTTTTCATTTCACTATGGGGTAGCAAAATATGCATCACCCTTCCCTTGCAGAACTGAGGTCATGGTTCTATCTCTCATACTATTAGAATGGAGTATGTATGTTTTTTCCCATGTTTGAATGGAATTCCTTTTGGCTCTAGTTTCCTCAACATTCCAGAAAATACTAAAAGATTAATTGTCCTCTGACTAGCATTAGATCCACCAAGTGTGCTTGTGTTAGAAGGTAAGTGCTTCATATCTTGCATAAAAAAAACCCTGTTTTTAAACGCATGTTTTTAGATAGGTTAACCACTTGACCTCCAGAGGATTTACCCCCTTAATGACCACGCCTCTTTTTGCTACTCGGAGCTGCACTAATTCAACTGATAATTGCGCGGTCATGCAATGCTGCACCCAAACGAAATTTTACGTCCTTTTTTTCACACAAATAGAGCTTTCTTTCGGTGGTATTTGATCACCTGTGCGCTTTTTATTTTTCACGCTATAAACAAAAAAAGACCAAAATTTTGAAGAAAAACAATATTTTTTACTTTCAGCTATAAAAAATATATAGTAAACTCAAAGTAGGTTATAAATTTAGGCCAAAATGTATTCTGCTCCATGTTTTTGGTAAAAAAAATCCCAATAAGTGTATATTGATTGCTTTGTGTGAAAGTTATAACATCTACAAACTATGGTATAGATACTGCAATTTACGCCATTTTTCTGCTATACAGCGCTGCGCTAGTTTAACGGACAATTGCGCGGTCATGCAATACGGTACATAAATGAAATTTACATCCTTTTTTTCCCCATAAATTGAGCTTTCTTTCGGTGGTATTTGATCACCTGTGCGGTTTTTATTTTTTGCGCTATAAAAAAAAAGGCCGACAATTTTGAGGAAAAAAAAACAATATTTTGGACTTTTTGCTATAAAACATGTCCAGTAAAAAAAAATGCAAAAAATCAAATTTAGTCATAAATTTCTGCCAAAATGCATTCTGCGACATGTCTTTGCTAAAAAAAAAACCCAATATGTGTAAATTAATTGGTTTACGTGAAAGTTATAGCGTTTACAAATGGCGGGAAAGATACTCGGATTTTTAGGTTTTTTTTTTATACTAATAATGGCGGCGATCAGCGAATTATGGCGGCAATCAGTGACTTATGGCGGCGACCAGCAACTTATGGCGGGACTGTGGGACTGCGGCGGACATTCTGACATTGGGGGGTACTGGGGGTCACTGACATCCCAAAAAACACTAATACAGTGATCAGTGCAAAAAAAAAACACTGACACTGTACTAATGGCACTGGGGAGGAAGGGGTTAACTTTATTTTGCAGGGAAGGGTTATCTGTGTGAGGGGGAGTGTTTTACTAGGGGCGGGGGTGTGCGCTGCAGGGGACACCGCTGATCGAGAGAGAGAAACTCTTCTTTCTCGATCAGTTCGTCCTCGAGCTGTCAGGGAACTGACAGAAAGCACAGCTACTGCAGCTGTGCTGTCTGTCACTGTTTGCCGCCGATTGCCGGGAAACAGCCGATAAGGACCAGTTGTGACCCGGCGACTGACATCCGCGGCGGTGATCGGCAGGACAGATAGGGCGGCGGCGCGCCTCGCACGCGCCCCCTATCTGTTTACAAAACACACGTTTTAAAATGTGGTTTTGCCTGCCCGTGCCGCCCTGCTGCCGTATTTCTACAGTGGCTGGGCGGCATGTGGTTAATTTGGTTTTTCATAGTTGGCTAACTGGCTGGCAGATTGAACTGGCTTTCTTATGCCCCTTTTTGATAAGTGATACCTATCCATGTTCTTTGCCGATAATAGCCATTATTAGACTGGGGTTGGCTGGCAAGTTGAACAGCGTAGCCCTATTTATATTTCATATCTTGCATGGAGCCTGTGATTTCTTCCCATGTCTGTGCAGGTTTTCTCTGGACTCTGTGGTTTCCACCCATAATCCAAAAACACACAGATAAATTATTTAGCCTTTCAACCATGTTTCTCTTTGTATGCTTACTGCAAGGGAATCTATGCACTATGTACACTTTGTAAACCCCACCATAATAACATCATGTACTATAATAATACTATAAAAGCTGTAAAGATACATATAAAAATAAACAGAGTTTGAATATAAAATGTTATTCCTGGAGGAAATAAATAATATATATATTTATATCGCTAAATAAGAAGACAGAGAAAGAAAGGGAGAACTTCTATTCTTGCAAGTGTAACTGCTAGTTATTTGTAAACCAATAAGAGACACGTATGTTCTATATCCCTTATTATACTAAAATATCTTAAAATCTGATTTATATCTGCTTAAGGCAAATTAAGAGCTTAATGTAGTTCTAATCCGCTATCTTGGGATTTCTCCTCTGGGATGCTGGCGAACCAAACCTTTTTTTTTTTTTTAAAGCACCCAAGAGGCTTTCTGCCCAGTATGTAAATGACAAAGAAATCATTATTTTGCCAAGAAATGCGGATGAGCCCAAGAACGAAATGCTTTGTCCTTCCTAGGACTATAAAATTGCACAAAACACACACTTATTAACTTCACTAAGTGGGAGCTTCCAATCCTGCTTAAACTTAATATGATCCTGATCCCCATAACTAATGGCTTACGACCATGAAACACAATGATATATGCTTTGTGGAAAAAATAGACTCCTCGCTGCTGAATCTCCCTGGTTAACTGGCATGTGCTAGACTTTCCATCTTCAACAAGCACTACATTTTCACATAATCGATTATTAGTGACAATGTTCTATAGGCATTCAATGCCAAAATAGTCTGAGACACATCCTGTGGAGCATCTGCTGATATTTTACTCTCACAGTTTTAGGTCTGCACAGCAGTTTACAAAGCATTACTTTACTGTACAGTAAAGGAAAATAACAAACCGGTTTGTGTGAATCTGAATTTAATGTCTTTAAATATTGTGTATTGTAAGCACCAGTGGGACGTCAAAGCCGGGAAGCAAAAGTTGGGTTATTGTCACATAGTGAGAAAGTGAGTGATGACAACTTTATGTCGCACATGAACACAGCAGACGTTTAAGCAACCATTTATATTTAGCTTTCCCGAATTTCCTAGAAATACTTCACATCATTTTAGATTTCAAAGAGTCGCTGCTTTTGCTTTTTTTTTTTTTTTTTTATTTATATTCAAATGTTTTTATTGAAATATTTCGAAACATACAGCATACGACATAACAGAGAAAAAAAAAAAAACAACGGTATATAAGGTTCACTGTAGGTATATACATTCTAGATTGAAAAGGGTGAAGTGGAGGTACCCGCGCCAACCGGCCGGGGTAGATATTAAAGTCACGTCCTGGTTACATGAGAGGTATGCTCTAGTTTTGTGAACCTTGTTGAGATTTTGGTAGGTATTTGTATAGGAAAATTGGAGAGGGAAAGAGGGGGGAAAGAGGGGGGGGGGGGGGGATGTGAGGCACCTAATTAATCTAAATCGTGTAATTTGAATATTATAAAATCATTTTATTATGCAGTTGGGATTCTGTAGCCAGCGAGTCCAGTAAGTCTCAAATTTGTGGTACGAAGAATTATGGAGGGCTGTTCTT